TGGAGTAATTATGTATATATAAGTGGTCCCAATGGATGGTCCCCCCCTTGTTGAGCATGTGCAAACCTAGGTTTGTATAATTACATATCTATTTTAGCAAACTCCTAGGTTTGCACAACTTTTCCGTTAATGATCGAGGCGTTGCAAGCTCCAATTTAACCTTTACAACCACGGCACTCGCCCTAGGCTTTCCATCAAGTCCTCGCATGTTGTAACATAGTCCGTCGGTTGGGCTCCAATTGTCTAATTTTTTTATCAGACCTTGCAATTCTTTATTGCACACTTTTGCTCGAGCTCTCGAGATTGGTTCTATTGAAATATATGTAATTGCAAGTCCCGATCTTTTCGTATCCATGTCATCCTCTCCCCCTTCAGAAGGTTGAGCCATCAACCATTGTGCTTCCTCATCGGCTCGATCATAGAGTTATAAATCTGCAATATAAATAGTAGGATTAATACCAAATTCATCCGGAAGTTCCAAATGGTATGCATTATCATTAATCCTTTCAAGCACTCAAAATGGCCCATCTCCTCGAGGAGATAGCTTAGTATGTCGCCTTGCAGGAAACCTTTCCTTGCTCACGTGAACCCAAACCCAATCTCCGGGATACAATATTACAACTTTACACTCGCGGTTAGCATACTTATCATATACCTCCGCAGATTTTTCTAAACTTGCTTTGACATCCTTAAGAAGTTCCTTTATGCGTCTTGCTCATTCGCTACCATTAACATTTAAGAACTCATTGCTAGGCAATGGTAAAAGATTAGTAGGCATTAGTGGGTTCATTCCATAAACTACTTCAAATGGTGACATGTGTGTGGTTGTGTGGAAATGTCTATTGTATGCAAATTCAATGTAAGGAAGACATTCATCCCAACTTTTACTTTGTCAATTCACAATAACTCTAAGGAGATTACCCAACACCTGATTTACTGCCTCCGTTTGTCCGTCAGTTTGGGGGTGATAGGATGTGGAGAAAAGAAGCTTAGTACTAATTTCGTGCCACAATGATTTCCAAAAGTAACTCACAAACTTTGCATCACGATCTGAGACAATAGACCTTGGCACTCCATGAAGGCGTACTATCTCCTTGAAAAATAGTTTAGCGATGTGATGGGCATCATTTGTCTTTGCACAAGGAAAGAAATGAGCCATCTTGGAAAACCTGTCAACCACAATGAAAATAAAATCTTTAGCATGTCCAGTTCTAGGTAAACCCAATGCAAAATCCATACTAATATCAATCCAAGGTCCCTCAAGGGGTGGAAGAGGCATGTAGATTCCATGTGGCTTAAATGTTGACTTGGCCTTGAGGCACGTCATGCATCGCAAAATATAATCTGCAACTTGCTTGCACATTCCAGACCAATAAAATTTCTCTCCAAGAGCTTCCATTGTAACATTCTTCCCAAAGTGGCCAATCATGTCACCACCGTGAACTTCCTGTATTAGTAACTCCCGAATGGAGCATCTTGGGATACAAAGTCGATTATTGTAATACAAAAATTCCTCATGTCTGCAATACTTATCATGCCCCTGCAATTCACACAAAAGCATACACATCTTTGAAATCCTCATCAGTGTGGTATAATTATTTAACATGGACGTGTATGAAACTAAAGCATACCTGCGTGAGAGTGCATCCACGAAAATATTATTCTTACCTTTTTTGTACTTAATTGTGTATGGAAATGACTCAATAAAAGATACCCATCGTGCGTGCCTTCGGTTAAGTTGTTTTTGCCCCCTCAAGTGCTTCAAGGTCTCATGATCGGTGTGTATCACAAACTCTCATGGCATCAAATAATGTTGCCATGTCTTTAAAGCCTGTACCATCACATACAACTCCTTGTCTTATGTAGAGTATTCACACAATCTCTCCAATTTTCCAACTATTATAAGCTATGGGTCGACCTTCTTGAAGCAAAACTGCACCCATGCCTTTGCCCGAGTGTCACACTCAAGCTCAAAGGTCTTCTTAAAATTTGGTAGTGCAAGTACTGGTGCTTGAGTAAGCTTTTCCTTCAATGTCTCAAATGCTTCTTGGTGTGCTTGTTCCCATTTAAATGGGACCCCCTTCTTCAGCAAGGACATGAGAGGAGCAGCGATCAAGCTAAAACCAGGAACGAACCTCCGAAAAAATCCAAACATTGCCAAAAACCTCCTAATTTCTCCCACATTCGTTGGAGGTGTTCATTCTTTAATTGTCTTTACTTTTGTTTCATCAACCTTCAATCCATCCTCACTAACTACAAACCCAATGAAAACAACTTCATTAGTGTGGAATATGCACTTTTTAAAATTATCATAGAGTTGTTCTTCCCTTAACCATTGAAAGACAAGTCACACATGCTCCAGATGTTCCTCTTCACTTTTACTGTTGACAAGAATATCATCAAAGTAGACTACAACAAATTTACCGATGAAAGACGTAGAACATAATTCATTAAACACATGAAGGTACTAGAAGCATTAGTTAGACCGAATGACATTACCAACCATTCGTACAAACCTAGCTTGGTTTTAAATTCCGTTTTCCACTCATCGCCAGGTTGCATACGAATCTGGTGGTATCCACTCCGAAGGTCAATCTTGGAGAAGATTCTCAATCCATTGATCTCTCAAGCAAGTCATCAAGATGCAGGATTGGGTGTCGATACTTAATTATAATCGCATTCACCGCTCTACAATCTACACACATCCCCCAAGTTCCATTCTTCTTGGGGAGAATGATAACAGGAACAGCACATGGTTATAAGCTCTCCCAAACCCATCCCTTCTCAAGAAGTTCTTGGACTTGTTTTTTAATCTCATCTGGGTTGCACCGATACACAAGATGATTTGGAATCGAAGCACCAGGTATGAAGTCAATTTGATGCTTTATCCCACGAATGGGCGGTAGTCCTTGCAGTAGTTCCTCCGGGTATACATCATTCATCTCTTCAAGCATCCTAAAAAATGGAATGGGAAAATTAGTAAGTAGATTATCTTTATAAGAATGAAATAAATCTTTGTATAACAACATAAAAAACTCCCATTTTGATGATCTAGGTTACCAACTTCTCGCTGAAAATCGGTAAGTGAAAGAAGGAAGTTGGAACCCTTAGCAGTAGACTCTCTCTTTTCCTCTTTGGATACTTCTTTTCCTTTGGCTCTTTTAAGGCTGTCAGTTTCTTTTCTTCGCAAACTTTCTTGATCTTTTCGAACCTCCTTCAATGGCGAAGAAGGAATCATTACCTTGTAGCCCTTGTCATAAAATCTAACTTTGCTAGTCTTTCCTCATAGATAATTCATTTATCGGATTACCATGGTCAGCCAAGAAGCACACGGCATGCGGTCATCGGAGTAACATCACAAAGGACATCTTCTTTGTAGGGGCCGATTGAAATTGGAACTTTGGCTTGCCTAGTAATCTTCATATCTCTACTAGAGTTCATCCATTGAAGATTGTATGGAGTCGGATGCTTGATAGTTTGGAGTCCAAGCTTGTCTATCACATACCAACTTAAGAGATTGGAGTAACTTCCATAATCAATGATCGTCGACGCTCGCTTCCCACCAATCCTGCACTGACAATGGAACAAATTCTCCCGTTGCTCCTTAACCCGATCAACAAACTTTTCTGACCCCTAAGAAACACACCAAGCATTTGCAAAACCACTAGAGACTCCCCGGATGGATCTTCTTCAACTTGCTCTTCCATCTCTTGGATTGCTTCATCCTCACTCACCTCAACCTCATGTTCCCAATCTTCACCCTCATCATCCGACAAAAGTACATAGTCCCCATTGTTACAAAGCACAACAGTTCGCGCATTAGGACATGCATTGGCGTAATGACCTTTCCTTTGACACTTAAAGCATGTGACATCCTTTGCTTTGTTTGGTGAACCATCCTTGCTGACTTTCCTTTGTTCATCACGCTTAACCACCTTAAGCGGCTCATTCTTGGTTGTGTGTTTATCATCTCATTTTGGCAATGATTTTGACCGTCCCGTATAACCCCCAAACATTTTGAAATTTGGTGATGGCTTTCCAAATGTCACACTTACTCCTACCTTTCCATGGGATTCAATTTTGGTAGCAAGTTGGACAAGTTCAAAAGTAGAATTCTAAGGATACATATCCACTTGAGCCATAATATCACGCCTCAGCCCTTTGAGAAACCGATACATGGTAACTCCATCACCTTCCACAAGCTGAGCCCGCATCATAAGTATCTCCAATTCCTTGTAGTATTGCTCAACCATCTTGCTACCTTGGACTAAAAACTGAATTTTCTGAAGGAAACCATTCGATAATGCGGGGGCACAAAATGTGCATGCATAGCTCGAGTAAGGGCTGCCCATGTCTCAATCGGAGGCATTCCGGACCTTGCAATATCAGGTTGTACCTTCTCCTACCAAACAAGAGCATACTCCTTAAACTCCACAACAACAAGCTGAATTTTCTTGCACTCCGAGTAATTATGACATGTAAACATCATCTCCACTTTGTTTTTCCACTAAAGAAACTCAATAGGATCAGCCGATCCTACGAAAGGTGCACTACAAAAAAACTCAAATCAAATTATTTCCTTCGCAAAACATATTAGCGAGGGAAGTTCCGAAGGAATACATGTCATCGCTATACATCTGCTCGCTAATTTGGATCCGAGGAAAAATTTCCTCGCAAATGTTTGTGAGGAAGTTTAGCGAAGCATCGATTCCTTCGCAAATGTTTGGGAAGGAATTTTGCGAAGATATAGTTTTCCTTCACAAATTGATTCAAAATTTGCGATGGAGTTCATTCCTTCACAAATATCCATCGCAAATTGATTCAAGATTTGTGAGGAAGTTTGCAAGGGAATTCATTCCTTCCCAAATATCCATCGCAAATCATTTTACAAATTATCATCACTAGTTCATTTAAAATTACTATACTTCGAAAATAATTACAAACTAACAAATATAACGAAACATAGAATAAAGCTAATGCATCAAAATCATCACTGGCTAGTAAGTTCGGAGGCTGTATAAATATATGGCAAAGATAAGAATGTCAAAATACAAAGTGCAGTTAAGACCAGAGTGGTAAGGTTTAAGGTCAAAACATAACTCTCGCTTATTAAAGAGAAATAAAGGCTCGGAATCCACAAAACAAAGATGATTCTTCTAATAATTGGATATAAATTCTCAAGTTGCGTTTAGAGCAGTGCAAAGTGCAATTAATAAGGCTCAACAGATGAACGGAAGCTTGCTCCTGCATATACTGCCTCGGAACCCAATTCCTCTTCAATCCTCAACAGCTGCATCCAAAGAAAATTCAAGTTTCACTCATAAGGTTCTTGTCGCCCGTCTGTTGTGTAATGTCAGACACTAATAAATTCAGAACATGCTCTTACTTGGTTGTATTTTGCCAGATGTTCTGATCTGCAAGGAGCCCCTGTCTTGATTTGGCCCTGATAATAACGATGTTGTTAGATTTCAGCTATACATAGTAATAGTTAATTATAGGTGTGATACCGATATGTACAATAAAAATCTAATGAACAGTTACCGTGGCCAGTCCAACAGAGAGATCCGCAATGAAGGTGTCCTCTGTCTCTCCACTGTATCCAGATATTCTATTGATTGTCAAGACATGGAATAAATAGTTTTCGAAATTTGCCAAACTACTGTTTAAGTCCACATTTCATACCTTCTGTGGCTGGCCATCACTCCCCAACCAGCATGCATCGACATTTTTACAGCTTCAATACTTCCAGTCACAGAACCAATCTGGTTAACCTGAAAGTCCAACAAAAAGGGCAAGAATCGTCTCATTGAGGCCCCAAAGAAATTTGAACTTGAATGAATATGCACATTGTAATGTACGGTAACAATGTATACCTTAAGAAGAAGTGCATTGCAAGTCTTCTCCTTAATTGCCTTGTCAACTCTCTGCCCACATTAAAAAAAAAAATGAGAAACAAGAAAACCAACATTTACCCCAAAACAAGGCTATGAATAAGCATCGTAAGGTTTTCAATCATCAGAATCAATCACCTTGGGGTTAGTGACGAGGAGATCATCTCCCACTATCTGTACTTCAGCACCAATTTCTTTGGTGAGTTTTGCATAGGCCTCCCAGTCATCCTGGTCAAATGGATCTTTGATAGACACAATTGGGTACTCAGAAACAAATGACTTGTAGAGATCCTTAAGTTGATCGCCGGATATCTTTTGGGACCCATCATTGCTCTGCAATGACAAAGCAACGGGTGAGAACTCAAGAACAAATGTAGCATTTACTGAACCCTCTTATATTTAAGGATATTCAAGACAGCATAGGAACTTGCCTCTTCCTTGAAGTTCAAATCATAAGTCTTGTCTGATGAATAAAATTCAGATGCAGCAACATCCATTCCAATAACAACCTAAACGAATCCTTTCATCAGCACCATTCTAATAAATGTGATTCAATACACATACAACAGACACTATAAAACCTTACTTTTCCTGTATAACCAGCTTTCACAATGGCTGTCTTAAGCAGCTCAAGACCTTCCTTGTTTTCCTGGAATAATAATAATTAGAAATGTCAGCATATTACATTGAGAAAAAAATAGAGATACAAAGCTATGAATACTGCATTACATGAATGTTGGTAGCAAAGCCACCCTCATCACCAACATTTGTAGCATCTTGCCCATATTTCTTCTTAATAACAGACTGAAAACAACATGATCCACACATTTCAATCATGCAAGCAGAACAAACGTTGCAGCCTAAGCTATAACCATTCATAACTTTCATAAAAGCCAATGAACTACAAACATGATGTCATCTTGCACTAGATTTTACACTAAGACGAGAATCTATCAGCCTTCTCATAAAGTGATGGAAATATTTGACTACAAATTGCCTTCAAATGATGATATACTTCCACACCCATCTTCATGGCCTCTTTGAATGAAGAAGCTCCAACAGGAAGAATCATGAATTCCTGGCACAAATAGTTTGTGTTTATAACAACATTAAGACAAATAAATATTACAAATTAGTCCATCTAAAGAATAGAAGTAGGAAAAATAGATAAAAATACCTAAAGCCCGTCACAGTTTTATTGCAGAAAAGAGAAGTCCATGGAACATGAAAAGGTCCAACAGTTATTCTGTTACTCACATTCAACTCCAAGAATTACATTTGGGATCAATGCGAATTCCAGCAAGCTTCTCCTCAGACCTTTCCAATTCTTCCAGAGGAGGCAATCATCTCCTTTTGAGGAAGAGTATTTTATCCCTACCAGGTGAAAATGATAGTGTTGGAAGGGGCGGAGCATCAACAATATTTCTGATCTCTGGTGGAGGAAGTCTATATCCATTTCCCTCTGATAATTCTACAAGGATGTGTGATACAACAGATGAGAATCAGAAATTTAACCTTTAAGATTGATGTGAAAAGTTAAGATTCAAACTGAACACTAGATGCAGATCCTCTTCTTCTTGAATCAGACAAACAAAGATGAGAATCCTATTAAGTACTATTGTGCAGTACAAACATGAAAGGACCTAGTGATTTGTTGAGTAATGGCAAAGTTATGAGACAACAGTCACCAACTAGCTTCCTCCCGACTAGATGAAACAAAGAGTGAGCGTAAAGTCACCAAAACCAATCCGTTTCGGCGATACAGCTTGTTGAAAAACCAGGGGGCAACAGGCCGGAAAGATAGTTTCATCAGATGAACGTCATAAAAGTACCTCTGCCACATGAATTATAATAACCTCATATAAATTTATCACAAATTTCAATACGAAGTCTGAATCTTAATTAAAGAGGTTCCCCATAGCTGACGGATGAATGTAGGATCTAGAAAGATGAGAAAGAGCCGCTACTCGTCATTAAGAAAATAAACAGACAACAACAACAGAAGAAGAGAGAATAGCTAAAGATCATTTAACAACAACAACAAATGATTTATATCTTCCGATCAAAGCCAAGCACAAAGTCACTCAAACGCTTCGGCGCGACAGGATAAAGGAAAGAGAAGTAGAGAAACAAGCCTCCCTCGAACTTCCCTGACCGCAATCACATTCATACAAAATCCAGATTACAGTGCAAAGTAACAATATCGGAAAACCCCAAGCAGTGGTCAGTATTCCGAAAATGCATTCATACACACACGAAGTCAGGAAGCTAGTTTATCCAATAGCTACCTTCATAGTCAACGGTGGATGGAGAAGAATTGGTGGCGCCACCCAAGCTCTCGGTGGCAGCGTTCATGGCAACAGCACTGCGGAACGTCATCGTCCGTGCCCCAACGGCAACTGATGACTTCGGCTTCAAGAATAGAGAGGATGGAGGGAGAGTCGATTTTAGTGGTGAATGGATTAACATAATTTCTCCAACCTGAATCTCCTTTTAGGAGTGGGTGAGTGCGCGCCTGCCTGCCTGCATCTATAGGACCTGGACCTGGACCTGGATTTGGACCTGGACCTGGACCTAGAAGGAACTATCCTAGTATTTCATTTGTTATATAAAAATGTTTATTTTTTTATTTAAAAATATTTGTATTTTTTAATAAAAATTTATATTATATTTTATAAATTTTATAATGATTATTTTATTATTAATTGAATAAAATCTAAAATTTATTAAGAAAATTAATTTTTTTTTTACTTTCAATCCTTTTAAAAATAATTTAAAAAATATTATTTATTAATTAAAATACAAATTTATAATTTTGTAAGGGAATATAAATCTTTCGCAAAATTCTTTCGCTAATAGCAAGGAATTTTTATATTCCTTGCAAATTATGTTCGTTGATTACGAATTAATTAATTCCCTAATAAAATTTTTTCGTAAAAATAAAATTCACCGGTATTTACGAGGGATATAAAATTCCTTATAAAAATCCTTCGCTAATGTATATTTTTTTTTGCAGTGGTGGTATGGAGAACTTGATGGACTGCATGTTATCATCAACCTCATTTACTTGAACTCGGCTCATTCGGTCATAGATATCTTCTTCCAAGTCAAATTCATCAAGCAACTCTTTGGTAGCATCCCGTCTTCCTCGTCGGCCTTGGATAGATGTAGGCCTTGGACTACTATGACGCCTTTCGCCAAAATCATCAACTTGGATAGATCGATTTGGGAGAACACTTGTTGACATGGCTCCGGATCACCCAAACCTGAACTTAGACGGACCGATTCCAACCCGAACCCGGTCGAAGCTACTTGTTTGCTTAGAGGTTGTGATCCTTTGATCTTAATCAAAATGTGTTGTTTAGATTAGCTTGCCACTTAAGATGTGTGGCTTAGATTAATTTGTCATTTAGTATATATAGCCTTGTTTATTTTCTTGATGGACACACAACTTAGATGAGACATTTTTGGAAAGGGTTTACATAGTTTTGGAGAGATTCCGTTGGAGTGATTCCATCCGCTGAGAGGGCAAATCGATTGTTTGAGCTTTGGATGCAATTGCGTGAGAGATGGAAGATGCATTGGCAGCCTCGGACAGTCCGTGGATTCTCGAAAGTGCTTGCTCGAGAGGCATGATTACTTTTGGAATTCGACTTATCCTATTTCTGTTTTGATTCGTCATTTGTAAGTTCCCGAATATATTAGATACTTGCCTTTCGAGTTTGATTCATGGAGATGATCATAATCCAAGTCATAAATTGGTATCAGAGCGGTTGTTGATTTGATCATAAGATTTCATAGCTATCTTGTTCACAACATGTTGGATAATGTCTCTATGTCTTGTTTGATCAAATTTGTGTTAGAATATAGGTTTAGTTCATGTTATTTGGAGATAGTTCATAGTTTCTAGAAATAGCCATTTCGTTGTTGCAAAAATTCCCTCTCTAGTGGGAATGATAGCTAGTTCCAATCCATTGTTAGTTGCCAAACATGAGTTGTGTTGTTGAATTTGTCTCTCAAGAAAATACAAGTAGTAGTGATTTTTGGCCGGCACTAACAAGCTTTGTTTGTAGTTTTCTAAGTGTTCTTAGACTTGATTGAGTAATATGGTTGGTTTTGAGCCTAAACACATCAAATGATCATGGAATTGAGTGAATTGAGGGCTTATAAGTGTGATTTTGTGAGTTTTGTCGGTAAATCATATTTTGGCCGTAACTTTTGCATATGAAGTCCGATTTACTATTGTGAGGAGGTTTTGGATCGGCATCAAATCCTTCATATAGTGAGCACTGCTTTGCCATACTGTGATCTCAAAATCTTCAAAAAATGCTTGGAAGACAGTTTTTGGTCAATCTGAAAATCTTGGGTCAAACATTAAGTTTTCTGTTTTGAGCAGTTGAATTGTTCGATTTACTGCTCTCAATTGGTTGGGAATTATTGAGTGATTCATTTTTTTGTTGTTAGATAACTCCTTGAAGTTGATTTTAATTTTTGGAATCGTGAGATTTGGTTTTGAATAGCTCTCTGAAATAGCGTTTGAATTTGGTTATATGCACTGCGTCCTATTTTTGAGGAGTGTGGCAAAAGTGCAGTAAAAGAGCCAAGATAGTAAAATAAATTAGAAAAATGCGCACTCTAAAAATTAAGTAAAAGCCTAGAGCATTAAAAATAACAAACAAAAAAAAGAAAACAAAAAAAAAACAAATTGAGCAGCACACTTTCTCTTCTTGTTATAGTGCATTGTCGATCATTTGGATAATCATAGTTGAGAGTCACTAAACTAGTTCTGAGGGAGTAGTTCTATCCTTCTGTGGGGGTTTGTTTGAGTTAGGAGAGATTTTCATGATCAAATGATGTGATAGGGATTTCGATTATAGCTTGTTGCTTAATTGTGGAATAAGATCTTGTGTCAAACTTTCTTTACATTCTGCGATTATAGTTTGGCGTTGAATCCTCTAGTTTGTTTCCAGTTGATGCATCTTGTTTTTTTTTCGACATTACTTCTCCTTGAGTATTGCATTTGAAGGAATTCCTACGTACTGTTTGTGGTATTTGCAAAATGCTTCTTCTGTTTTGATTGTGGTTGCTTCTGATTTTCCTTTATGAGAGTTGCGAGAGAGAGTGAGAGCACTTGCCTTTCGATATACATATATATAGTTTGTCTTTGGTTGCAGGATGGCCACTTTCGAACAATTGAAGGAGCTGTTGGAATTGAGTATGCAACAATTGGAGGCCAAAATGGAAAAAACTTTATCCATGCTACAAAGGGCAACTTGGGATCATGTAGAGTACGCCGTGAATAAGAAAATGGAGGACCTCAATCATAGGTTGACATCGCTGGAGACGGCACATAATAGAATACAATAGTCGTAACTCAGAGCACTCATTCTATGAACGAGACCGAACTTATCATCGACGTGGTGAAGTGGATGATGATCTTTCTACCATTAGGATTACCCTTCCCACCTTTGGAGGATTAAGAGGGGCAGAGGAATTTTTGGATTGGACGACGAAGTGCGATATGGCATTTGACTGCCATAATTACTCGGATGGCAAGAAATTCCGAATGGCGATTTGTGAATTCAGGGATTATGCATTGACTTGGTGGGAGAAGAAGAGACGTTATAGAGAATGGCATTGACGAAATCCGAGTGATACTTGGCCCCGGTTGAAGGAAATCATGAGGAGGCATTTTGTGCCAAAAAGTTATGAACGAGATATGAATATTAAGTTGCAGTCCTTGGTGCAAGGTTCGAAATCCGTGGAGCAATATTTTAAGGAATTGGAGATTTTGATGATGCGACTGGATATTGATGAGAGTGAGTCATTGACAGAAGCTCGGTTTATTAAGGGTTTGAGGCGTGAGATAGCTGATACGGTTGAGCTGCACCGTTTTCGTTCTCTTCGGGAAGCTGTGGATTTGGCTATCAAACACGAGGAGCAGCTCAAGAGACCAACCTCAACCGGATTGTCATCTCAAAGGAAGTTTCCAACCAGTTCTGTAGCTCTGGTCGTATCTTCTACTGGATCTAAGGGAATTGTTTTCGCTAAGGCTTTCGATAAAAATATGGATAAAGGCAAATATAAAATAATTGATAACGCCGCGAAGTTCAAAGGAAAGGATTTTGGACAGCAAAAAGAAAAGATTGTAACATGCTATAAGTGTCATGGACAAGGGCACTATGCAGGTCAATGCCCAAATAAACGAACCATTATGATTTTGGATAATGGCGAATGGGGATATGTCGATGATGGTGAGGGTGATGAGGTAGTAGAGGCTGAAGCAGAGGCTGGAAGTGATGATGACGTTGAAGAAGTGTGCGATGAGGATCCATTAAGTTTAGTAGTCATGCGTGCCTTGACCTCTTTACTGCGCGAAAATAAGGATGCGGAACAGCGAGAAAATCTATTCCATTGTCATTGCAAGGTACCAGGACGTACTATATCCATGATAGTGGATTCGGGTAGTTGCACCAATATTATTAGTTCCTATGTGGTCAAGAAGCTGAGTTTGAATACCACCCCACACCCAAAACCATATAACCTACATTGGATGAACGATGAAGGAGCTGTCCGTGTCGATAGACGAGCGATTGTTACCTTTTCGATTTGTGGTTTCAACGATGATGTCCTTTGTGATGTGTGTCCCATGACTGCATGCCACCTCCTTTTGGGATGACCATGGGAATTTGATAGACATTTTTTGTACAACGAATATAAGCATCAAATATCGTTCACTAAAGGGGCTGAATATTTACATAGGACTATGCAAGATGTTGTAAAATCAAAAGGGGTTGTTGTTACCGTTTCGGCGTAACCTTCTGAGGGATACGATGGCAAGCTGTTGCTTAGTCTCAAAGAGTTCAACAAAGAAGTTCGCCAAAACAGTAACCAAGATGAGGGAAGTTACTTTAATATTCTCTTACTCAAAGAAGTACTTGTTATTGATGATAATTCTTTTTCTCACTCATCTCCTCCTTTTGTAGACTTGCTTAAGGAGTTTGAGGATGTTTTTCCGGATGATATACCACCTGGATTACCACCATTGCGAGGCATTGAACGTCGTGTTGATTTTGCACCGGATTCATCAATTCCCAATAGGCCAGCTTATAGGTGTAATCCAAAAGAAAGTGAGGAAATTGGAGACAAGTCAAAGAGCTTCTTGATAAGGGATGGGTTCGAGAATCTTTATCTCCTTGTGCTGTACCTATTTTACTTGTCCCTAAAAAGGATAACTCGTGGCGTATGTGTGTGTTGATTGTAGGGCCGTCAATGCAATTACTGTGAAATACCGATATCCAATCCCTCGATTGGATGATATGCTTGACGAGTTGCATGGAGCACGTTTGCTTACAAAAATTGACTTAAAGAATGGATACCATCAGATCCGTATGCAACTCGGAGATCAGCGGACAACAACTTTTAAAAGTAAGTTTGGGTTGTACGAGTGGC